CCTCCCTCTCTTTCTTTCTTTCTTTCTTTCTTTCTTTCTTTCTTTCTTTCTTTCTTGGTTTTTCGAGACAGAGTTTCTCTGTATAGCCTTGGCTGTCCTGGAACTCACTCTATAGAGCAGGCTGGCCTCGAACTCAGAAATCCGCCTGCCTCAAGTGCTGGGATTAAAGGCGTGCACCACCACTGCCCGGCCTTCTGAGATTTCTTAATACCCCTGTTGGAAACCACAGACTTTATAAGCATGGTCTGGGACTGCAGAGGTGGCTCAGCAGTTAAGAGCACTGACTGCTCTTCCAGAGGTCCTGAGTTTAACTCCCAGCAATCACATAGTGGCTCACAACCATCTGCAATGGGATCTGAGGCCCTCTTTTGGTGTGTCTGAGACAGTGATAGTGTACTTAGAAGCACTGGTCTGTTAGAATGTATCTGTATTGGACCTTGACATTGTGTTTTCACTTCTATTTAAAACTTGAGCTTACCCTTACCTCTGCAGTGCTGGGCACTGAACCAGGGCCTTGCAAATTAAAAGCAAGTGTTCTATCACTGACTCATATCCAAGCCCAAGATCTAGTCTGTGTTGTATGCATGTGTGTGCACATGTATGTGAGAAGAAGGATGTGTGGAGAACCTGAGGTTAACACTGGCTGTCTTTCTCAGTTACACTCCACCTTATTGTTTTGAGTCTGTCACTCAACCTGGAGCTCCCTGCTTTGACAGACTGGCTGACAGGCTATATTGGCTGGCCAGCGAGCCTCAGGGATACAATGTCTCCAACCCCCTCCAACCCTGGGATTACAGACGTGCCACCTAGCCTGGCTTTTCAAGTGGGTGCCAGAGACCACACTCAAGCACTTTACCCACTGTGTCTTCTCCCCAGCTGCCAAGATTTAGCTTTCCAACATCTACACTAACTCCAACAATGTAGCCTTTATTATTACTTTGAAATGAAGATCTCACTACACAGCTCAGGCTGGCCCCAAAATTGTGTTACCCTCTTTCCTTGGTATCCTCTGTGTGAACAGAAGTGTGCATGACCACACCAGGTTCCTCAGAATGCTTTTAGGGCCCTTTATGGAAAGAGTTTCAATATACTGGATTCAGCCTCTACCCTGGATTCAACCTCCACCAATCAGCCTTTATTGACTCTTGGTTACATAGAACCCCTTCTCAAACCTAAGTTCGTCCTTACCGAGCAGGTGCCCATCTTGGATGCAGTAACTAAAAGGGGAGAAGATGCCAGGCTTTCAGAGGATAGCACCCTCGGAGAGGTACATCTGCGGGCCCTGTGCATGGTTGGGATTTTTGTTATTTTCTTGACCCAAAGTCTCACTATTCAGCCCAAGTCACCTATAAGTCATAGCCTGCCGCCTCAGCCTCTCAGGTACCTGCCACCCTTTCTATCACTACTGTTAATGAGAGCTGTTATTGCACAGCCCGTCTGCACTCTGCAGTGCTGAAGACAAGCAATCTCTGCAGCTCATGGGCAGTGGTTTCTTAGTGCACACAAGGCCCTGGGTTTAATCCCCAGCATATAAAGCAGGTGTGGTGGTGCAAAGCCGTGATCCCAGAATTAGTGACGTAAGGCCAGACATCCAGAGTCATTGCCATCTACCTCAGATACATGAGTCCTTGTCTCAAAAACAAACACTAAAATATAAGGGCAGAATCCTGTACCCTTCCCACCTCCCCCAAGTAGGGTGTCTGGTAGCCCAGCCTAGTTGAACAAGGCCCGTGATAAGTGTGCACCTATAGCTAGTAATGCCATGCTGAGAACTCACGGCTTCACACATGCTAGGCACACATTCTATCAACTGAACTACATCCTCAGCCCCACAAGCCAGGTTTCTGTGCTCACTCAACCATGTGTGTACATACGTGTATGAAGATTCTACTGATGTCATCACAAGTCTAGGCTAGAACTCTAAGGACTTAGTCTCAGCCTCCCACTGCCCCAACTGTGCCCCAACCTAACCGAGAGGGATGTAGGACTGGAGTGGAGGTTCCAACAGGAATCTGTTTTTGGGTTTCCATGCCTCTGGCTGCCACTTACCTTGCACCCCAGCAGGGCTGACAGCTCCTGGGCTTTGTTATGCTGCAAGATGTTCCCAGCATTTGTGACAAAAACCACAGGTACCCGCAGCTGCCCCTGGGAGTTTACCAGCTTGCTGAACGCTTCCAGAGCAGCCGGGATCACTCTGTGGCCTCGAACCAGCACTCCATCAATGTCAAACAGCAAGCCGAAGGTGGGAGAGCGCTGCAGAGGGACGAAGAGAGAGCCGGCACCGTATGAATCAACAGACAGGACACTCGGGGAAACACACAACCTCATACAGGAAGGTTCGTCCTCAGCCCACTGTGGGAACATGGTACCAGAAAGAACAAATGACGAAGGCACAGCCTGCTTTCTTTCCTGTCCTCTTTCCGCCGCCACCGCAGTACTAGAGATCAAGCTTTGTACATGAAAGGCGAGAGCTCGACCACTGCTGTACCAAGGAGGGACTTGAAACCCACCTGGGGCGGTTAGCAAACATACAACTACCTCACTGGCACTGACTTGGCACCAGGCACAGCGGCACACACCTGTATTCCAGCACTCAGCAGGCATGTCCAGCTGAGTTACATAATCCAGCATGTTACATAGTGAATCTGAAGTGAACACTGGCTACATAGCAAGGCCCAGTCTTGGAAAAGCAAAATAAATATAAGCAATTTAAAATTGGAGATAGAGGAATCCAAAGAAAACATGAGCCTAGCACTTTAGTACAACCAGTTCATAGTTTCTCTTTACTCCTTTATAGCCCATGGCTATGACTGTTAAGACATAACTCTGCACCTGGTTCTCTTTGGGAGATAAACAATTTAACCAAAAACACTGACCTTCATAACCAGCTTTTTAAAAAATGTTACTCATGAGTGTTTTGGCTGGTTGTACATACTATGCACCATGTGTGTATCTGATACCTGAAGAGGTTGGAGAGGTGTCAGAGCCCTTGGAACTGGAGTTATGGGTCACTGTGAGCACCATGTGTATGTTGGTAATGGTACCCAGTGCTCCAACTGCTGAGACATCTATCTGGACCCATCTTTTCTTTTTCCTTTTCCTCCTCCCTCCCCCTACTCCCCATTCCTCTGTCTTTTTTTGTTGTTGTTGTTGTTTGTTTTGTTTTTTTGTTTTTTTTTTTTTTAAACAGGGCCTCATTTTGTGGACCTGGCCAGCCGGGAACTCACTATTTAGACTAGGCTAGCTTGGAGTCTCTGAGATCCACCTGCCACAGCCTTCCAATTGCTGGACTTGCCCATGTTGTGTGTCACCATGCCCAGCCATACCACCTTTTAAGGTTTTGTTCTAGTGCTCACTTCGACAGCACACACAAAACTGAAACAAAACAGAGATTAGCACAGCCCCCACACAAGGACAACACACAAATTTCTAAAGCGTTCCCTACTTTTGCTGGCATCAGCATTCCTGTCAGGACATTGGTGCCAAGAGTTTAACCCAAGTCCAAGCCATGATGTACTCAGGGGAACTTTAATTTGAGAAGAGAACATTCTCAGCTCAGGTGGAAGGTGTCCACAGCCTCCATTTGTACGAGAAGAGGCTTTTCTGAAAATAGATCCAGTATATGCTTTGAATTTCTTAACTAAAGTTTGGAGAGAAAAAAGATTTTGTTTCAGAGGCTGGGACTATACCTTAGAGGTAAGTGTACCTGCCTAGTGTGCTTAAGGATACGTTCAGTTTCTAGCATCATTTTTCAAAAAGACTCAATCATTTTGTAATCATGTTCAGTGGCGTGCCCATAATCCTAGCACCTAAGAAGCCAACCTCAGTTGTATAGTACATTTACGTAGCCTGGGCTACATAATTTTGTCTTTAAAAAAAAAAAGTACCCATTTTACTGTAACAACATACACAAAGTTTTAAACAAATGAAATACTTCAATTGCTACCAATAGCATTAAGTATTTTAAGAGACCCCCAACTCTCCCGGGTGGTCTTACTCTCGCTTGTATGATCTCTGGAAATGTGGGCACCTACTACACACACTCTAATATCGCCTGCCTCCACGCACACATGTGCAAATGCAATCATGTTATTCTTTATTTCCATCTTACTATTTTTCTTTGTTTTGGTTTTTCAAGACAGGGTTTCTCTGTGTGGCCCTGGCTGTTCTGGAACTCACTCTGTCAACTGCGCTGGCCTCGAACTCAGAGATCCTCCTGCCTCTGCCTCCTAAATACTGGAATTAAAACATGGCTCACTATGCCCGGCAGCCCATCTTACATTTTTTTTTTTTTAGTGGTGTCTCTTTGGTGACTTGCCAATTTGTAGACAGTCCCCTCCCTAAACATCATTTCTAGTTCCATAACATTCCAAGTGAATAAACCAGTAACACTGTTTCATCTACTTTAGAAAGTTCAAATCTGCCGGGCGGTGGTGGCACACGCCTTTAATCCCAGCACTTGGGAGGCAGAGGCAGGAGGATTTCTGAGTTCAAGGCCAGCCTGGTCTACAGAGTGAGTTCCAAGACAGCCAGGGCTATACAGAGAAACCCTGTCTCGGAAAACCAAAAAAAAAAAAAAAAAAGAAAGAAAGAAAGAAAGTTAGTTTAAATCAGGTCATCAGGTTATTAGTCATTCCTGAGGTAGAGGAAAACATCTGTGACTTCAAAGCCAGCCTCTTCTACACAGCAAGTTCCAGACCAGCCAGGGATATACAGTGAGTCCCTAACTCAATTTAAAAAAAAAAAAGTTAGTTTGGCCAGTGAAACGGGCTCAGCGGGTATAGGCAGTTGCCACCACACCTGACACTATGAGCTTTATCCCCAAAGCACACATGCTAGAAGTAGAGAATTAACTCCCCCAGTTTGTCCTTTTGAAAACACGTCAACCTACATGGCTACTGGTGCTGTATTTCATCCTTGCAATATAGATAATTATTAAACTTCATTAACTTAAATATTTAAAAACTATTCAAGGCTGGAGACGTAGCTCAGTGGTGGTGTTTGTACCCAGCATGCACCAGGCCCAAGGTCCTGCCTCCTTAACAAAAGCTCCATTCCCATTTCCTGTTTTTTTGAGACAGGGTCTCTTTGTATAGCCCTTGCTGTCCTGGAACTAGTCAGACCAGGCTGGCCTGGAACTCACAGAGATCTGCCTGCCTCAGCCTCTCTACTGCTGGGATTAAAGGTGTGCGCCACCACTTCTAGGCTCTACTTCGCAGTTTCCAAACATTCCATTTCTTAGTATATAAACTGCCTGTTAATATAAAAGATATTTCTCAATTATCAAAACAAATGAACTAGCCTAACCTGTCTGCCATGTCTCTTTTGCTGGTGCCAACTAGGTCAAGCCATTCTTAGAACACATGTAGTCTATGCACAGAGCTCGATCAGCGGTGAACAGGCCAAACCACAGGTAAGAAAAGGCATGCTGTCACAGGCCTTTAGTCCTAGCACTAGGAGGTTGGGGCCAGCCAGAGCTTTACAGTGAGATTTGTCTTAATAAACAAAAACCATCACAGGGCTCCAGTCCCTCATTTATTAATTACAGGACAGAGTGAGAAGCCAGCCTAGAAAACAAACTGCTAAACCAACTCACAAATCAGAATTCAATTAAAGGCTTTAAGTTCTCAGAATAATGAGAGATAGAATCCTGGACTTTATACATGCTAGGTAAAGCTATATCCCTAGCTCTCAACACTGTAAGCCTGATAATGACATGGATTGTAATCAGGCTGAGTTTCTTGGAAGAGAATTTCAAGCTATTAATGAAAGCATTAAATATTAAATTCCCCTATCAAAACTGTTAAACTAAGTATGGTGGTACAAGTCCTAGCACTTGGAAGACTTAGAGGATTCTGAATTCAAGGCCAGCCTAGGTTATCTAGTGAAAGAGTGTTTCAAAAACATCAGGCCATCATCAGGTGGCTCAGTGGGTAGGGGCACTTGCCAAGGAAAACCTGACCAGCTGAGCTAAACCCGCAGATCTATAAGGGAGCTGAGAACCTACTCCTGCAAGCTGCCTCTGACCTTCACACATGAACTGTGCCATGCATATACACATATACTCACACATATAATAAATAAATGTAAATCAAAACAAAACATTGCCTCTCCCAAGAGCCCAACCAGTAAGGCAGGACAGGAATAGCCCCTGACTACAGATGAGGAGAACAGACACTTGAAAACACAGCCCCAGGACAGTCTTTGCTGAGCACTAACTACCGCTAGAGCTGAGACACACGGGTAGTGAGAAAGGTCTGGACCACTGGACCTCACCTACAGGGATGGAGGACTAACCACGAGGTCCGGTGCCTTGAAATCTGAAAAAGGCAACCGCATTCTCAGCCCTGATTACAGAGGGAAGAACAGACAGACTGAAGGGAGTCCAGGTGAGGAGAAGAGGGGGCCCTCTGCCACCAAGACAGCAATGGCAATGACTTTACTTCAGGTAACAGCAACAAGAATGGAAAAATCAGGAAAAAGAATGAACTGATCTTTCTGTCAACAAACAAACCAGGCACAGAAAAGCAAGCATCACAGTTTTTCCTCATATATGGAATTTTTAAAAAGATGAGACAGGAAAACAAGAGGACTACAGGAAGGTTTCCGTTGTATTTACCTCCATAATCTACATCCCTACTGCATTACCTGTGTCTAAGAAAAATGTCATACTGAAACTCACGGTTTTATATAACTCACATACACAAATGAAATTTAAAAATGAAACATTACACAATGACAGAGAAAAGGGCACCTTATTACTAGGAAAGAAAATCGCCAGGAATTGAAAACTACTTGGGTGCAGGGGCAGAGAAAAAGAGCAACAGGAATCACCATGAGTTTTATTTTGGGGACTGAGGACCATGAAAGAAAGATTGATGCTGACTGTACATCAGTGAACCAAAGCGGGGCAGCAGGTGGGCAGTCGGGAAGGACCTGGGCCAGGTGTGGAGGAGGCAGGACTACAGATGAAAATGTCTGTCAGGCTGAAGACATGCTCAGTGGTTAAGAGCACTTGCTGCTCTTCCAGAGGACCCAAGGTTGGTTCCCAGCACCTACATTAGGCAGATCACAGCTGTCCACAACTTCAGCTCTAGGAGATGCAATGTCTCTGGCCACCAAAGGCACGTGCACTCGGGTGTGCAGACACATACTCACATGCAGACACACATACCCACATTCGGACACACACACACCCACATGCAGACACACACCCCCACATGCAGACACATATTCACATGCAGACACACATACCCACATTCAGACACACACACACCCACATGCAGACACACACACCCACATGCACACACATACCCACATGCAGACACCCCCCACATGCACACACACATTCCCACATGCACACACACATAGCCAC